ACTAGCTTATAATAGTTACATTAGAATAGCATTTTGTTTTATTTTCTCGTTACTATTTTTACCTCTTTTTTTTTTTGTTTGTATTTTTTTATCGTTTCCCCTATATCTCTGTTTTTTACTCCTTTTTGTTATTTTTTTTTGGCTTTTATACTTCTTGATGAGCCTATAGTAGCCAGCTGAGGACTAATAGGAAAAAGTCTCCTGCGAGTAGAGACCTGGAAGGAGGCCAATTGCTACTGAGACAGGCCACATTGGCATCTTTAAGGTGTTGGTGAGTCTATATTTTGGTTAGACAATATAAGTTAAAATACAAGAATGTAATGTTTTTGTTAAAATTCTCAGTCTCAAATAAAATAGAGCAGGTAGCCGAATTATTAAAAAAAAAAAAACCAAAAATACAATCTTTTATATTTTTATAAAAAGGCTCTAATTAGTTAAAATTTAAAATCATATAACAAATTTGTAGCATAATTGTTATTTCAATCATTAGTAAAAATATAGATAAAACTCTATAACTTACTATAACTATTGCTATAACTTACTATTAGATAGTTATTAAATATTATAGAAACAGTTATAACAAATTATAGTAATAGTTATAGCAAATTATAGAAGTTTTACTCATATCTCTAGTCATTAGCAATATACATTAAGAAATTCACTTGAGGGTACTCTAAGCTAATATGAATTAACTTGAATTCAATCATTATACAATAGTAAAGATCTATAATTTAAATAATTTTATTTTAAAAATATAGTATTAATTGTTACAAATTATCGTAAAATCAAATTATTATGAAATTTAAGGATCTTAATTTAAAAATATAAGCTCTACTAAAATCTATCTATACTCTTTTATTAATAATTCTAACTCTAAATTTTAACTTAACTATAAAAAAAAGACTACAAAAAAGGCCCTAAAAATTTTTAAAAATTGTATATAAAATAGATCCAAATTTCACAATAATCTGTGATATTAATTAATAAATAATCCTTGTTTCTTGATAGTAAATATGATATTTATAAATTAATAACTTACTTTAAAAAGATTAAATAAAAAATATCTAGCTAATACTAAAATGACTGAAGCTAGAAATTAAAAAACTCGATTTAAAAATATAATCTTTATCAAAATCTACTTATACTTTTATTAAAATTAATTTAAATTTTTTAATTTTAGCTATTTTTAGCTTTAGCTATAATATTATTAGATCTATAAAATTAAAAAAGTATTAATTATAAAGAGCCAAATAATAAATAGTGCTTATAAACAAAACCAATGTAAATAAAAAAATACTAAATAATTATAAGATTTTTAAACTATATAATCTCTGCTTAATTGGTGATAAAATTCTTAAGTTTTCATATATTAGTCTTTTAAAAATATAAAATCTTGCAAGTTTTCAAGTTTTATTTATTTTTTGATAAGAGTTAGCTAGTATAAATTATTGTAGATTATTTAAACTACATATTCTCTACTATCTATTTATATGTCTATTCACAAGTTTTAGTAATGATTTAAGAGTATAAAAAAATTCTAAAGAATATTGACAAAAGAATATATAAGAGTTATCAAATACGAGATTCAATATATAAATTATTCTAAAATCTAATTTTCTAATTTAGTATATTTTCTGACTATAGGCTTTTTGAAAACTATTAAATATTTGTCTTAATAATTTTAAAAAGTATGATTTTGAAATTCATTGTTTTTGTTTTTCTTGCTTATTAATATTTTTTTGTTCTAGACTTTTTAAAATATCTTTAAACTTTTTTGAGATTTGTGAAGTGTATATATTATAAACCTAGAACATATAGTTTTATTTTTTCATTGTTGTTTTTTGTCTTGTAAATACATTACTAATATTTTATTTTTTCTAAATTAGTTTAGTCTTGAGAATAGTTTTAAGTTACTATTTCTTTGCTATTGTTATAAATTATAGAAACTTTTTTTCAGGTATTTTTAAGAATATCTTTAAACTTTTTTTTAGTTTTTAGTTTTGTATATTTGTTTTAGTTTTGGTTTTTTTTCTCTTTTGGGTCATTGCTTATTGCTTTTTTGATACTATTATGCAATACTCTTATTTCTGATATCATCATAATTAGAGTGATGAAAATACTTTCATTGCCAGTATTATATATATTATTGCAAGATTATATAGATAAATTTTATATATATAATTATTCTTATATATTAAATAAATATCTTTGTTATATAAAATTATAAATTTTATTTAAACAATTATTATTATTTTTTTTTTTCAGTATGTTCTGCTACTGTTTTTTATTAGGATATAAACCAAGCAAAAATTACAAGAATTCTTAACTATAGTTATTATTTTCTTAACCGCAACAAGTAACTCACTCGACTTAAAAGCCCAGATATGATATCATCTAGTGGCCATTCGCCTTTCTCCAGACCTCTAACTTTTTAGAGGCATGAATTCTTCAATTATTGGCCAGTATCACATGCCATATTAGTATTATCTTTTCTTTTTACAAAATGAAGTACAAATACAAATTCAAAGGGCAAAAAAAAAAAAAAGAGATGATATCTCAGTATCTAATTTTGATCTACCTAAACAAATAAAACCAAAATAACATATAAAAGAAAAAGAAAAACAAAAAGAAAAAAAATAAAGATAGCACTATTAAACCTATGCCAGATTGTAAACATTATATAGTACTATTAAATAAACTAGTCTAAACTCTATGCTAGTTATTTATATCTATATTGAGATATATAAAATATCTATTCTTGAGTAGAGATCCAAGTTCAAAATTTCCCTTGTAGTCTCACTAAGTCTTCAGTGTAGTATCTAGCAATATATTGTTATACGAATACTTGTTTCTGAGCAAAGTTAATAACTGCTACCATTTTCTAGCTTCTGGCAATCTTGGTGTAAACACTGCAACCTCTTGAGGTAACCGATCTATACGATTTTTATTCCAAAGTAGATACGTACTCCTGTATGTGACTTTTCTTTTTTGGCAGCAATTGTTGTATCAATTTTTTGATAGAGGTATGCTGTATTTTCCACTTTTTGTTGAAATTTTGTAAAGAACAAAGAGTAGGGTTTTGGAAGAGGGTTTCGGTTTTGCGAGTAGCCTTAAACTTCGATAAGGAGTGTATTAAAAACTTGCTTGTTGTTCTCTTTTAAACAACTTTTACTTTGTTAGCAGAAGCTATGCTTCTATTAAAATTTTCTACACAAGGGCACTACCTCTGCTAGTTATCTTGTACAAGAATACTTTTAACTTGCTTGCTAAATATACAGAAAAGTCTGAAAGAAAATAGTCAGAAGCTTTAATCTCTGTAAAAATCATTATTTTAGTTGTCTCTTCTACTTTCTTCAACAAGTTTTCTATTTTTGTTAGTCATAAATTTTGGTATAAGTGATCGTCAAAAAGAGTGTATATATTTAAACAATTATTACCAAACTATTAGCTGAATTATTTTTATATATTAAATATTAATTATTCAAGATTTTTTAAAATTATTTTATTTATATTATTTATACTATATATTCTATTTGCTACTTTTTTGTATATTTTGCAATATAGATATGAATAATAATTGTATTTATTATATATTTTATATATATTTTTATCATCTAAAGATATATCACTTTCAAAGTAATTTTAACTTTTCTTATTTGTAAATATATTATTAGAAATAATTTATTTGTACCCGTAGGGTATAGTGTACCTATGTAACACAATTATCGATTATATGCATCAGAGAATAAATTGTAAAAATTGTAGATAAACAAATAACGTTAGAGATGAAAATGCATAAATATTGAGAATGAAAGTAACATAGTCTCTCTTTCTTGAAAATAGTGCACTTAAAAATCGTAATTAAAGGATACAATACACGTCTTTCCATTCTGAAACTTTAATCGCATATCGTTTTACCATTTGAAAAAGCTGTAGTAGTGTCAGTTACCAATTGATCTCGTGATTTCTCGCTTTTGGCATAGTGACGGTATTTAGTCTCGTGATTTTTATGTAATTTTTACAAAGATATATCTAATAAGGAGTTATCCTATTTGAAAACATAATATATCATTATTTTTGAACTAATACTTTTTGCTTATGAATTTCTTTTCGAAGAATTAGCCAAACACCTTGAAACTCATTTAATTAAAATGGAAGCTTATTCTTATTAATTGGTCTCAGATTTTCTCGATTTTGGCATAGTGACGGTATTTAGTCTCGCAATTTTTAATTTTGAACTTACGCTTATTGCTTATGAATTTCTTTTAGCTAAATTAACCAAATACCTTGAAACTCATTTAATTAAAACAGAAGCTCATTTCCTCGTGATTTTCCCACCTTTGGCGTAATGATGGTATTTGTCTCGATTTTTTAGTAATTTCAGCTCAAAAATCATAATGCATCCTTTATTTTTTGAACTTACGCCTATTGCTTATGAATTTCTTTTAGTGAATTAACTTGAAACTCATTTAATTAAAATGAAAGCTCATTATCATTAATTGGTTTCGTGATTTTCTCGTGTTTGGCGTAGTGACGGCATGATTTGTTGTAATTTGAGTTACTACTTAAAAATCATAATGCACCATTTATTTTTGAACTTACGCTTATTGCTTATAATTTTTTTTAATGAATTAGCAAAACACCTTGAAACTCATTTAATTAAAACGAAAGCTCATTTTCATTAATTGTTCTCGAAATTGACGTAGTAGCAGTATTTAGTCTCATGATTTTTTTGTAATTTGAGTTATCCTACTCAAAAATCATAATGCATCATTTATTTTTGAACTTATGCTTATTGATTATGAATTTCTTTTTAATGAATTAGTAAACATCTTGAAATTTATTTAATTAAACGGAAGCTTATTCTCATTAATTGGTCTCTGATTTTCTCACTTTTGGCATAGTGACAGTATTTAGTCTCATGATTTTTTTTTTGTCTTGTCTGGTACCTAAAATTGGTTTATTTAAAGATTATTTTCTTTAGAATTACGGTTTTAAAAATGGATTATGGGGACGACTCTGAACATTTCGAAGAGAGGTCATTAAATATTGCAGTTCCGTAAATAACATATCTTTTTTTTGTTTTCGTCTTATGTACTATATTTGTCTTTTGTTACTAACAACCTTCTTGACAAAGTGATCAGCATTTAGCTAAAGCATTAGACGCTCCAATAGTTAGACAAATGTTTGGTACTTGGGAAGAATTGAATCAGTTCATTTCTCTCTATGCGAGATCACAGAATTTTGTCAGTGTTATTTGTGGCTCAGAGTATGATGATGGTATTTGTCGAAGCCGTAGATATACATGTGAACACCAGGGCCGTAATATTGTTAAAAACAAAACTAATATTGTTGAAAATCAGCGGCAAACATGAAGCAAGTGTACCAGGTGCCGTTGGCAGGTTCATGTTACCTTTCTCAAAAAAACTAGCACATTAAATATCAGCTCTGTTTATTTGGTTCATAATGATTATTTAATGGAAAATGAAACCAATAAGTTTGCCTCAAAATATAGAGCATTTTCTGAGGATATGTTAAAGGACATTGAATTCTAAACTGAAACTAGCAATTTAAATATGAGAACTCAATATCAAATATTAATAAAGAAGTATCCTGACAACTTTTTTTTGCCCCAAGATGTTTCGAATGCTATACAAATTTTAAACAGCAAAATCATGTTGAATCCGAGGCAGCTGTTTTACTTAATCAACTTCTTGAACATAAAGCTGAAGAT